TCGTGGGGTATGTTTTTCCAAAGGATCCTCAAATAGTGCAGAGTTCTGAGTTGTTTAGAACTCTTCATCAACTATATTCAACGTAGCCATTCAATTTGAATGTCTATATTGGGAAACGGCACCTCTGCAGTTAAACAGTTAAACAGAGAGCCCGTTTGTCTCTGCTTTGTCCCACCAACTTCCTGCCGCTTGAAAACTTGTTTTCCGGCCAGTCAAACTGTGTACCGCACATCCTATTTACATTTTAAGTGCACATCCTATTTACATTTTAAGTGCAGGCTTCGGGCTCTGCTTGCCATGCCTTGATACACCTTATTTTCCTTTGCAATTTGTCTTCGGACGAATCCGGCTCCTTGTTAAGACAGGGCGAAATTGCTCCAAAGGAGAGGAGACGTCCAGGATGAGGTCCCGAAGTCCTTCAAGTGAGTGTGCGGGAACCCATTTTCTTGCAGTGTGAACAAAGCCTGCCCGCCCGTCCACCACCCCCTATAGGGCCATCCCGGTGCATTGCCACGCTCCTCTTTTTGCATTTCAACCCCAGCAATCCCGCCAGCCTATTTCCCCGTGTGACCCTTCGTCAATGATGACGGCAGCGATGCTTGCACCAATAGCCGGCTACGGCGTCATTTATCGGCGCTGGTGGGCAACTTCGCGGCGCGTGCTCCTTCAGTAGGGACCCCGAGGAGAACGTGCCTCTGCACAGTGGAGCTGGGAATTATAGGCGGCCGAAACTTCCGGGGCGTCCACTCCATTTTGCAGGTGCAGCCTCCAAATTCTCTCCCCACCCCGCACTCTGTTGTAACTGGAAAACGTGGCCAAGAATAGCCCGGCTGCCAGGAGCCTCCTTGGGGCTGCAATGCGGACATGGCTGAGGGGGATGTACAGGGCAGCGCGGGACTAAGTTCAGATTTGTGTATCAAACACGCACACCCTCCGCTTCCTTTCTTGCCGCGGTTTCATTGCGGCGGGGGCGGATGCAGAGAGCAGCAAGCTTCTCTCTTGAAGCAACCTTTACAAGGCATTTTGCCGACCCCTACCGATGATGGTCATGTGCAGCCCGAAGAGGAGAAAACCACTCCTCCTTGTTGGGTGGGCCC